GAATGGGCTGCTGAACAAAAATCAAAAAAAAAAGAGACACATACTTCTCCATCCTTCTCGTCTTCTGGAGTTTTGGTTAAATACAAAGATTTTAATGATAAAAAATAATCCTATCGCTACTTTTTCCACTCTCCTGATACCAGATGTGCTAGCCTACTAATCTGTATGTACCCAAAACTTAAGAGATATGTCATTGTATATCTAAAACAAACAAAAAAAAAAATCACAAACACATTCAAAAATTCTTAGCTCCCTATCTCCCAAAACCAAAACCTCACAGTAACAGAGAAATGGTGGAAAGTCATCGTCCCCTGCTTTTTGCTTATTCTGCTATGTATAATATTGAAAGGTCAGTTATTTTCTTTTTAATTTGCATTTGCTACATTGGTGCCTCTTCAGGGAAATTATTTTCTAAAGCCTTCCTGAACAAGCAATTTTACAAGTACTGATAATGAAGGCAACCATTTAGAATTGCAGACAGCAATCCAAGTAAAAGCTTTTCAGTTTTCCTTTCCAAAAAAAATGAGGTTTTGTTTTCAAACAAAGCATAGACTCAAACTAACACTTCCATGTGCTAGTTCGCCATTTTTCCATGCCATTTTCTCCCCTTGCTAATCAAAAATCTCCCAGCCAACATGACAACCTTTTTATCTCAACTGCAAATTAATTGCTCACTGTATTTAAAAAAAAAGTATGATCTGTATAAAACAGGCAAATCACCAGCCACCAGTTTGATGAGGTATTACAGCACTGCTGTTTCTGGGTTGGTCAGCCGGTAAACGTTTCTGTATATTACAGATAAGCAGTACATCTAATAATTTGGATCTATTCAAGAAAAAGCTAAAAGTGAACTGTTTAATTCTTCTACTTTTAATCCAAATGCTGTAAAAAAAATGAGGGAATGATTGTAACATTATTTGCTCCAAACTCACTGAATACAAACATGAACACAGAGCTTTCTGCCACTTAACAATTGACACACCACGAGCTGCTCTGGAAGCACAAGAAAGATCCATAAAAGGCAATTTTAAGGAGTACACATCTCCAGGGGATAAATACACAGAAATATTTTAAATAGTATTATAAACTTATCTTACTACCTTTTAGGATTAAGCATGAAGGACTCTGCTTCTCAGTGCAGCTTCCTATTCTGCTACTGACTGACTTTAGATTAATATCTGTGAGGTTTTGTGGGAACAGGTTTGCTAAAGTTCCAGGACATGAAGTCAGAAGAGCACTGTCTTCCAAAAAAGATCTAGCGTTGCTAGCTTGTTTGCAGCAGTGTTTTCTAACAAAGCAAAGACTCCTAATACTTTAAATAACTCCGCTCCATCGGACAGTAAGTCACTGAAGTAAAGCTTGAGCAAAAATTTATTATTTCCTCTCCACTGTTGAAAAGTTGTTTAGCTTTTGAACAGAAGAGGTCTTTCTGTATCATTATCCTCAAAGTTATGTAAGAATTGCAGTGACTGTATCTACCCTTGGATTATTTAACTCATAGGTTCATCTCTTTTCATCCCCCTGCCTTAAGTCGGGCTTGCACACATATTTAAAAAAACCCAAACAACTAGGCAATAGATGTTTGTGATGCTACTAGAACATTTTGGCATCTTTCAGAATTCTGTACAAAAGCATCTCTAAAAACACTATTAAAGAACTGTGATCCTAATCCCCCAGTCTGACCCAACAGTGAAGATTTATGCAACTCTCTAGATCCCTATCAACAATAAAGCCTGTAAGTGATCCGCTGCCACAAATACGAATACAGGAGGATCAGAACCCAAATGTTTTTCCATGCTCATTCCCAGACTTCTTCCAATGGTTGTATATTAAAAGCGAACTCCACAGTTGTGATACAGTTGCCTTGCTTGTGCCTTCTATTCTTGCAGATTTAAGCAGAAGCTAGATTACTGCTTCTGCTGGTGCTTTGGAAAAAAACCACCCAGGTTCAGAAAAGCTTTCAGAAGCAAAATCACAGTAATTTCAGTAGTGTTTGCAGCCAGATTCACCAAGATAGTAAGAAGCCAGTGTCCAAAGACAGGAAATGTGTTAATGTACTCCAGTTTATCTGAACATTACCTTTCTTGGGGAATGGGAGAGAGATCAAGTTTGTTATTGGCAGGAGACATAGCTGTTTGTAAGAAGCCACTAGTTGGAAAACTTCCACAAACCGCTGCCCAAATGCTAATGATTCGAAGATGCAACTTGAACACAAACATCTGAACTCAAAGTATAGCAGAAGTACATCTTGAGGAACTGAAACTAAAATATCAGTGTACATGAAAGTGCAATTGTTTCACCAAAAAAAAAAAGTCTGCAAAGGACTCAAAAGGTCCTTTATTACACAGTACTGCCACAGTGCAGGATCAGATACATGCAAGCCCTTTCTTTAACAATGTCTGTCTACCCTATTAAAATCTCCAAGACCGAATAAACAATCACTATCAGCAATCTATTGCCATTATCAACTAAAGAGCATGACACCAGCAGGTAAAGATAGTAACAGTCCTGAATATACTTCTCAGGTCTCCCGCCTAGAAGCTAACACTACAGACATCACCTCTTGAGTAACTTTATCAGCATTCCTTAAATCAAAAGGGGCAAACAGCTAAACTCCAGTAGTTATGATATTAACACATAACTTCAGACAAACTATTATCATCTCCTTTCAAGTCACATAGTTCAAAGGGAAGTGCAACATCCTGTCCCTGGGGAGGAACAACCCCATGCATTAGTGCATGCTGGGGCCCACTGGCTGGAAAGTAGCTTGGCAGGAAAGAACCCAGGGCTCTTGGTGGACATCAAGTTGACGACAAGCCAACAGGCCCTTGAGACAAGAAAGTTAATGGTATCCTGGGCTGCATTTGGAGGAGTGCTGCCAGCAGGTTGAGGGCTCTACTCAGCACTGGTGAGACATGTGGAGTACTGTGTCCAGATCTGGGCTTCTCAGTACGAGAGAGACACGGACACACTGGAGAGTCCAGTGAAGGGCCACTAACGTAACTGACTGGAGCACCTCTCGTATGAAGAAAAGCTGAGAGAGTCAGATCTGTTTAGCTTAGAGAAGCCTCGGGGAGATCAAATCAATGTATATAAATACCTAAAAGGAGGGTGTACAGAAGAGGGAGCCAGCCTCTTTTCAGTGGTGGCCAGTGACAGGACCAGTGGCAATGGGCACAAACTGAAACACAGGAGATTTCCTCTGAACATTAGGGAAACTTTTTTTACTGTGAGGGTGACCAAGCACTGGCACAGGTTGACCAGAGAGGTTGTGGAGTCTCCATCCTTGGAGATATTCAAAAGCCACCTGGATACAGTCCTAAGCAACCGGCTTTAGGTGACCCCACGTGAGCGGGGGGGGGCTGGACAAGACGACCTCCAGAGGTGCCTTCCAACCTCAACCATTCTGTGGTTTGGTGATACACATTACAGCTGTACACCAAGGAAGCCAAGGCTCCCTTAGTAAGTGTGACCTATTAAAACTGCCAGTACCAGACTTCCAACTGAAATGAATCGCAGGATAACAAAGATGAACAACAAAATGCTTGTGGTCACCACTGGAACCAGGCATTTGTTCCCTAGCTTATACCAACTACTGTCAAAGAACAACACTAAAACTCCCAGATTCACGCAGAACAAACAGATCTACTGCTGGAAATCCAGATTACTTTGCATAGAAATAAAGGCTTTGGGGTGTAATTTCCATTCTATGCAATTTAGCTTTTACAACACTGTTTCCTTTGAACATAACTTCATTTCATGTTCTTGTCAGTTGGTCATTTTGCCCTTAACACTACAGAACTTGCTCCTCTTACTTACATAACCATGCTTAAGTGCTGTGAATTGTAAGGAAAGGCAGTTACAGGAGTAAACTGTTAAGAACCTGCTGAATTCTTCACGGTTTACACCAGCTTACTTTTACTGGAAGCAGCTATTTAGTCTTCTTAAACAAGAGGCGGTTAAGAAAGAAGCGAGGAAGAGGTAATAGATGTCCTACAGAATCTCGGCAGGAGAATCCACAGAGGTTTACCAACGAGCAGAAACAGGAGGCATGTGAACTAGTACTCACAAGACTAGTGACTAGACACAGCTTCTCATCCTTCTTGCAGAAGGAGTTTCTAGACAAGTTCTATAAAGTCTGCACAAAGATCTCAGACCAAACAGGCCATTGTTAATTCTCAGAAGTTTTAACAGACTGTAAACACACTTGCAGGACGTTTTTACTTTTAAGAAGTCACAAACATTACTACTCAATTTTTCTAAAGACTAGCTGCAGAGTGTTTATCACGATTCTACGCACTACCAGGTGAAACAGATCAATTTGGAAACAATTACTGCAGAGCAATGTTTCTCAAAATTTTCAAAAAATGCAACCATCATCTGCCTCATTCCTTTCCATGACATCCTTTAGGTCTAATACCCCAGAGCACTGGAGTGAGAATCCATTGAAATTACAGAATGCAAGTGTTTACGCTCTCTACCTTGAAGGAAGTGAGTCCTTCAATACCAACAATTAAAGTTAGTTAGCAGCTCTGGGAGTAAACATTTGCACCTAGTAATTGCAGCCTGTTCTCACTCCCCCATTTCCTATCCCTCAGCAGACAAAATGAGCAGGGGCTGGCTGCTGCCATCTAAAACTGCCACCACAGGGGTCCTGACCCTGCAGTGCAAGAGACAAGGGGGGCTGTCAAAACTAACAGTCTTCACTCCCAT